GCCCAAGCCACGCCATAAGGAGCTTCGCCCCTAAAAGGGAAAGCTGTTCTGTTCTGTTCTGTTTTAACTGTTTTGCTGTGGAGAGGTTGAGGTGCCTATTGCCTCGGCTACTCCATATCACAAAGTTCTGCAGCGAAAAATAAAATAATAATACAGAATGGTACCCAAAAATTAACAATACGGAAAAGAAAAAAAACATAATAGCACACTGAAACCCGTTCAATTATCATGTCAATACACAGTTTTCTTCGCGCAGTTCACACAGTCATAAAGTACTTACACGCACACCTTACTATTTAATGTCAGTATATACATGACCACATTTTATATAATACCCATCTCTGGCTGTCTGTCATAGGTGCTTGTCCAGTCTGATCTCCACTAAAAAGTCTGTCAGGAAGATTATTGCCTTTTTCTGGAGATGCATCTCAGGCCGTGGTCCAAGTAGTTTCTTTATTGTGAGGGGCCGTCTGTCCAAACTTGCTAATTTGTTCTTTAATTTTTCTCTTTCATTCGCGTATTTAACGCACTCCAAAAGGATATGGCTAACATTTTCTTCTGCATGAGCACAATGGCATTCCGGTGAGTTGGATAGATGTATCTTGTGCAGGAAGCTGTTTGTGTATGCTACTTCCAATCTAAGTCGGTGGATCAATGTCTCTAGGTGTCGTGGGAGGTCTGTCGCTATGGAAAATTTTCTATTTGGATCAACTTCATAAAGTACCGTTTCCTTTGATTTAGGGCGCTCAAACCACTTCTTCATCGAACGATCGTTAGCTCCTTGCGATATAAAATGTCGAATATCCACCCCACACACAGGGATTGCGCAATCCCGTCCTTCCTTCAATGCTTTCTTCGTGGGGCTATCAGCATCTTCATTTCCGTTTATTCCAATGTGGCTGGGTATCCATTGGAATACGATGTAGTGACCCTGCGATGACGCATATTCCACAGTTTCTGCGATACATTATGCTATTTCACCATTTTTGTAAGGTGATCTCACATTTCTGATTAGCCGAAGAGCAGGTTTGCTATCAGTGCATATAACCCATGTTCGTGCCCTACATTGTGAAAAGCATTTTGTATGTCTAGTGCGAGAATGTATGAGGTTCGGGCCATCTGTCACTTGGCATGAAGAAGTGTATCTTTAATATTTGAGAGGACATCCTGCGCCGATAAATTGAGGCAAAAGCCAAACTGGGTTACGAACAGTGCATGCGGTGTGTTAAGTTTGGGATGTGGAGGGGGAAAAGGCGGCGTTCAAAGTAAAAGTGATTTGTGATGTCGTTGCACGTAATGGGTGCATCTCGATTGGTTTGTAACTCAGTGAGGTTAGGTTGCCCTGTGGCAGCGTGATTGGTAGGGGCACGCGCTGCAACATGGGCAATCTCGTTGAGGGTGGTCTACATAAAAAATTGGCACCGAATTCCTAATAAGTGTGTAGCGGATACCACGTTTCTCCTAAGAATGACAAAGGATAGCATAGTGAATGCATAGTGAATGCTGGCCTACCATACAAAATTTATGATTATTTACGGTGAAGCGGGTACCCAGCAGTGTGCTTGTAGCAGTTACCCAAGAGAAAAGGCTCCGGAAGGCCGCTTTTTTTTGCTTTCGCTGTGACTGTGCTGTGCTTTCTGTGCAGGCCAGGTTATTTTTTCCTTGCAAACTCTCTTCACTAATAATTTGTAAGTAGCTTGCAGTCTGAATAAGAATTTCTAGTTTTATAGGTTAGCATTTTCGCATTGGTGAAAAACCTTAGTACTTCGTACATCTGGACTACGCAAAATTGTAAGACATCTTTTCTGCCGGTCCCGAGGCATCCAGTGATACCGCGGATTTGATCATTTTGATCATTGATCACTTCTGAATAAATAAGCACATCTCAAGAGACAAGGGCTGAGGGGGGGGGGCGCAGAGCGGGAGCGGTGTGCTACAAAAGGGTGGCCACTACAGACACGAACGAAGGAAATAGTATGAAATGCTTTGAAACCACCAGGAGATGACGTCACTACTGACCACCTCAAATCTAACATGCCAAGGATGACAAGGCACCTTTGCCAAAGATAGGTCCTCCTATCGAAATGTCGGCCAGCCTTTCGGAGTCACTTCCACTGTTCATCCTGAATACCACGCTACTTGTTTCCATCGGTGGGCTCCCATTGATTTTGTATTTCGAAAGCAGTCAGTCAGCATAACTCTTAACTGTCGCTATCTTTCTCACAAAGTCATATTTACCCTACGGCACACGACTCAAAGCACACCGTGAGAGTTTTGATTATAACATCAAAGTAGAAATGTGAAGCTCATACCGCAGACAAGTACTGTGAGTAAAAATAAAGAATGAACAATGTCTCGCGCGGCTGGTTAGGATTTATACATCAGTGGACATTAGGACAGGTATCTGACCCACAGCTCGGTCGTTGGTAGATGGCGCCCCGCTGGGTATAATAGCGCGGACATGCAGTTTGCCACCATTCTCACTTTTCATGCACCTTTGCAGTTCTTATAGCTTTTTTGCTGAAAATACGGAAAATTTACATTTATTTTTTTCTGGAAGCCGAAACCATCAAAGGAGACAGGGAAGCTCTTCTATTGCGACACACAGCCTCGTCATATTATCTACTTTATTAAAGTATTCATTGACCTGTTGAAAATGAACATTTAAACACCGAACGCGGACTTCGCGGTTTAAGCCTATTAAACTGCAACCGAAACTTCCGCGCACGTGGTTGCCAAAGTCCTAACATCAGGACCTCAAATTACAGAAGGACGCTCTCGAGACTTAATTGTCCTCAAATGTTGGTATCGACTAACCGCAAAGTTAGACACGTAAAAAATAAAACTGACCGGTGCCAGCCCTATCAGAGAACTAATATAAAAATTGCATCATATCCCGCTAAGGAAAATCATGTGTAGATGCGAAGCAGCTGGCGTTAACGCTTACACTGGCGGCGACCATGACGCTGGCACTCATCGCGACGTGGCGCAGGAGAGAAACCTCCCGAAGCACGCAGTGATGGATCGGCGTTTCTACTTGAACATGCCAATCGCAGCTAATGAAAAATGAGCGACAGAGGACTCGATTTGACACAGGGACCAACAGTCCACTTTTTTTTAGTTAACGCGCAGGCTGGGAATTTTTATTGTTCACAGAAAAAAATCTCCCACTGGCCCTACATTGGAGGTCGAGATCCAGTGCCGATATATACGGGGTGGGCCGCAAACGGTTGTGCAGGGCGAGCAGTTCGTCATCAAGACGCTCGCTAGTAAACGAGGCAGGGCGAGGTGAGAGAGGGAAAGCGTAGGAGAGAAAAAAATGGGCAGATCCCACGTACAGTGGGAATCGATGATATGCGAAGCACAAATGAGGAAGGTAGACACGTGGCTTCGAATTCAGCCCAACGTTACGATACGGAGGTAAATAAATTATGCCGTACACGACATCGATGGCATGATTATCATGTTTGGGCGTGTCATTTACCTTCGTCTTCTGTTCACGTCAAGTGAAACCAAATTTGGTATATGTTCAGTTATCAAAGCAGGCGCGAGCGCGCTGTCAGCGTTGCATGTAGTGATGTTTTGCATGACACGAATATCATGATTATCATGTTTGGACGTGTTATTTACATTCGTCGTCCGTTCACGTCACGTAGTACCAAATTTCGTATATGTGAAGCTAGCGAAACGGCCGCGAGCACGTCATGAGCATGGTATGTTGTCATGTTGTTACATGACACGCCTGCCATGATTATCGTGTTTGCACCAGTCACATACTTTCATAATACATTCACGTCCTGTAATACCAAACTTGTTATGTAAGAAGGTAGTGAAATGGCCGCGTACGCATCATGCGTGTGGCATGTAGTCATGTTGTTACATTGCATGGATATCATGATTATCGTGTTTGCACCAGCCACATGCCTTCGTCGTTCATTCATGTACCGTAATACCCAATTTCGTATATGCGACGCTAGCGAAACGGCTGCGAGCGCATCATGAGTGTGGAATGTAGTCATGTTGCTACATGACACGCGTGTCATGATTTTCTTTTTAGGGTCTTGCGCTTGTGTTTCACATGCAGTCATACCATACCATACCAGTCTTCGAACTTGTCATGTGAACGAAACCACTGCAAGAGCAGCAAGACCATGAAATCTAAATCATGACATTCATGACATACATGTCATGATTTAATGTTATAACTCGTCACTTATGCTCGTCATACAGTCATGTTATGCCATGCCGATTTTGTTATCAATACCATTACCGAAAGCTAAAAGTCTTAGGCGGCTAGATAGATAGATAGATAGATAGATAGATAGATAGATAGATAGATAGATAGATAGATAGATAGATAGATAGATAGATAGACAGATACGCTTAAATTCGCCATAGTTCGCTAAGAAATGAAAAAGAGAGGGAGAGGGGACGCGCATGTGAAATCGTGGTGTAAAAACCGTGGGGGGGAGTGCCTAGAGGAGAGGGAGGAAGAGCGAGCGCAGGTTAGCAGACGCTTTGTGCGATGGCGCTTTGAGGCGGTAAAGGGTGGAACGTAGGAGAGGAGAGAGAGGGGCGGGGATGTGGATGCGCCGTTTGGTCGGTCACGCCGCACACCAGATTGAGCTCGACCTTTCGCTGTTTTGAATCTAGTATACCAAGCATGGGTCTTCTAAAGCAACGTCCAGTGGCGCCACTGCATTGTCGTAACCGGGAATACCAAGGGCGCGTCTGCTTTCACCACAACATTGCCGCACCCGCTTAGGCGACCACACAGATTGCATCTGCGGTGCATTACAACTTAACTACTTCTGACTATTAGTGCTCGGGGCCTAATTAGAAGCGCGTGCGCACAAGTGTCATTGGCACCGGCACTGTCACATTCTCCCACAAACCACTTTCGTCATAAGCGCCTATCTCCGATTGCGCATAGCTCAGCCGCGGGATCATCGCACCCAAATTTCAGCTTGAATTTCCTATAAGTGAACTGTACATCTGTATAGGTCTTTTAGTATATTTAGTTGGGCATAACAAAGGCTCGGCCACTGTGCTCTCCGCAAAGTGTAGAGGTGTCCAGTGACAGCGTCAGGGTAAGGTAGCGACAACACGAACGGGGGCGCCACTGGCTCCCGATATTTTCATGGGAAGGACAAATCCCGTTGCCCCCACTGCTGGCACACGTGAAAGGCAAGCCAAGTTCTCCGTAGTATACAAACTAGCAGCGGCGATGATATTGTGAACAGTTAGGTCTGGGTAGTGATCCAGCGATGGCCCGTCTAGACCAAAGCCGTACGGACGCCGCTCGCTCGTGAGAAATGTCGCCGCCTCAGGAGCCAGGGAGGGATAGTGCCGGTCTCCCTTTTCGTCCAGTCCCATGTAAGCCGTCCGATTGGGCCACAACTGTGCACCAGAAGATGGATAAACACGTGCTTAGGCACCCTCTTCCACAGCCACACAATATTAGTCGCATACAATGGAAGTGCGAGTTTTACCCCCGTATTCATAAACGCTCCTTGACTTGAGCTTGACCTGAAACCAACTTCAATGCAGCGCGTTTGAAACGCGTCTGTGCGTTTGTGCTGCCTTGGCATCGCCTAAGGACAGCACGTTCGAAACGCGTTTGTGCTGCATTGAAGTCGGCGGCAAGTTACGTTCAAGTCAAGCAGAATTTCTACATACGGGGGTAAGTATAATGAAAAACAGCAAACACAAGTATTTAGCGCCAACGTTCGTGTTATGTGCTCCCTATTGAGCGTGTGCAGAACGCTGACGGACGTAAGATATCTCGTTCTGGTAGCATGCTGCTGCCTGTTCAAGTGAGAGCCGTCCACTTCGAATCTTTCTTGTCGTAAGGCTGCAATATTAAACTCTACCCTTCTCAAATAATTCTCACTTTTGATGTATTTTTGAGTAATTAGGCTTCACCTGCCGTATACTGCCGATAAAATAGATCTGCTTTTGCGACTTGCAGTCGATTTTCAGAGCAGAAGGCTTTAAGACTTCTGCTCTGAAAACTATCTGAGCATGGTCAGAAAATGCGGCCGATTGGTAGAAGAGGCTCCCGAGAACACGAGAGCCGAACATTGTAGTGCAGCACGTGGCCTGGAATTCACATTAAAGTATCAAAGTAAGCTAAAAATATTTTTGCCTCCTCTTCTTTCGAAAATTGGCGGAATAAGCTGTAAAATGACTCGCAAAAAGTCAGACATCAGCCATCCCGTGTACTTGAGTGGCGCTATTAGAAGTAAAGACTCGCTAGTTTTCAAACCATGGCTACAAGAATTTCATGAGCAGTAAGCAGCCTGTAATTAAACGACATCCTTTAATTGTACACACCGAAAGTAACAGAAACTAAAACTATGTAGCTGAGCGAACTCGAATAAGAGCCTTTCAATATGCGCATTTTCCCAACAGGAGCCTGGCTGCCGTCTTCACCAATCAGTCAAACGACATTGCACTCCTGTCAGTCCAATCAGGCTTGCAGAGAACTGAGTTTACTCATATGTACTTATGCGAAATCAATACATGCTCAAATAATGAATCCTAATTTCTGCGGTCAGCCATTTCCTTTAGGAAACGCTGAAAAACCTTCGCGAAACTAGAAATCTCCAGGTTTGCACACCGCAGAGCCGTTCAAAACATGTGTTGCCCAATTAAGCCATTTTCGACGAATACACGGCTGATTTGTTCGGCGCATCTCACGGCGGTTTCCACTCTCGGCCCGCCACAACTTGCTGTCTTTATCTTTCGCGTAGTTGACACGCACACCAAGCGAGATAACTGAGCGTGGTCTCACTGCTGATATCGCTGAGCGAGGAGAGAGGGGGAGCGGAAGAAAGCACTACGAACGCAAGTGAATAACTTCTGGTGCTTTCGCTGATTTCAAATTCACAAAATAAGGAATAGGAAAAGACATAAATAAAAGAGAAGTTTGGTACAGGGTATCGAATTTTTTTATTTGTAAAAACTTGTGAAAGCCAACGAATGCTAACATTTACACCAACCTCACTCCATTTAACCGGACTTTAGGATGACTGGAAACCGCTAAGAGTACGCATGTCCCTCGAAGCCAAAACTAGCGATGAGCTTCGGGGCCCTGCTTCAGGATCCGCCGCTCGCTTCAAGCGTTTGCGTTCAGTGTCGCGTGCTCTTCGCTTTGCAGCTTTGTCTTGAGTGAAAGTAACGTTGTCATTTGTGTTCGAGCTGATGCTGACACGTGCTTGCGTCCGCCCACTCACTGACAGGACTGTTGTTTCAATCACACTTCATCAGAAGCATCAATGAAGTCAAGCGAAGCAAGCACTGCACTGAACGTGTGCATCTCTCTATTGCATTATATTGCCAGTTGAAGGAAAAGGGACTAGAGGAGGAGAGCGGCTATGCACCGCGAGAGCAAAAGCGAGAACGCAGCAGCGCAAGTGATAGGAGTAAGTGGATAGAGTAAAGCGCAGCTGTTGGAGAGAGGGAAGGAGGAGAGTTGCACATGCGTAGAGTGAGTGCGGACGACGCCGCGGGACATAGACCCGAGAGACAGATGCTTCGCATCTTAAAATGACTAACAACTGAAACTGATGTTTCGTTGAACGAAGCACGTAATCGCCCAATCGTAGGCACTTACCCGGCACCGTCCTGTGTCGACCAGAAAAAGGCAGCCATCGGGAACTCTTCCGTATCGGGTTTCCCAGTCGTGAATGTCAGACAACGTGATGATGTACTCGGGGTCCGCTTGAACCTTCGAGCGGATGTCCAGCTTCACTATCGGTACGTACATAAGTCGTTCAATGGGGATATCCGCCACAGACCATCCACCCTTGGCACAGTGCAACGGCGCATCTAAATGTGTACCACCGTGCGTTTTTTCGGAGATCTGGTCGATCTGTTTCCTAAAAAGCAAGAAACAAAAAATAAGTTATTCGTGTTTAGCATCCTGAAAACCACGATGCGTTTATGAGGAAGTGCCGTATTGAGGGGCTCGGGAAATTTCGACCTACAGGTGTTTGAAATTCGTATACAGTTTCCTAAGGTTAACTAGAGGCGACTCGGGCGCTGCGATGTTTCAACGACCATGGGAATGATGGGTAGCACATGCATTTGCCTAATCTTCATGCTTGCGGATTTGAACGCACTTGTACGCATCTTGAACGCCTTTGAACGCATCTTGAACGCCTTTTTGTTTTGGATTAAGTGAAACTGCTCTATCTTTGCGGATTTTTATCATTCTACAAAGTGAATCCAGGCCACGCAAAGCCAAATGGAGCTGAAAGAGCGAAATACTAACAAATCCATGCACTAGCCATCATCCCCATGCTGGCTCAAGCGCCATGCGTGGCTGCTCCCATAGAAACTGGCACCAGCGTTCCCTCTAGCAAGTATTGAAAAAAAAAACTGTATGCCTAAATCTAAGTGCATAAGAATCTAGCATCTTCCCTCCCTCGAATCGCGTCCGCCTCAGGCCACATGGAACCCCGCTACATTTGGTTCAGCGGTCGAGCGCCGTATTCATAAAACTACCATTGGGGGCTGAAAAAGAAAGGAAAGTTGTTGGTAAATATGAGTATGAGTAAACCTGCAGTAGTTATAAGCAATGACTGCGTTTTTATCTGCAGCGTGTTACGTGCAATCATAACACCTTTACTGACGCATATTTAACTGACCCATTAATACCAAATGTACCCGGGAGGACCACTGACACGCAATATTAAAACGCAATATCTTCGCAGATATGCAATGCTTACATTGTGCACAAAATGGCAACAAGGCTTTATTTATTTGGACGCATAACAAGCTCGAGACGTTAGAAATCGGCAGCGGCCTATTTTCAGCATCACCTGCAAAATAAAAAAAGCTTGGAGGAACCTTGAGCTTCACACCAAGACTATAGAACGTGATAAGTGATCCGGCCCCATGCGTTTTTTTTCAGCTGATAGCCTCGTTCCGGTTGACGGTGCGTATCTCGATTTATTGATCGATGAATCGAATGTAGATTTACCCAGTGATGTGTGTGCCTTTGCCACAGGTCCCGTTAATTCGGGAGGCGTTCGCCGGGCTAATTCCAAGGGCCGAAGTATCGGCCCCCCGAACCGCACCACGAAAGCGTGGACAATTTAGAAGTGATCCTATTTGGCGCGCCAGCGGACGCCGGCTGTGGCCCAAAGAACAAGTCAGAGCCGAGAGTTGATAAAAAACAAAATTATATTCTCAGTTATGGCAGATCAAAACGATACACAATTATGCACACTCGACAATAGCTGAATACAATTTGTCGCAAATCAAACAATGTACTACACAGTACAATCAGCCACACTCGAAACAATGAACACAGACAACAACACGCACTACAATGCAGTCGCATGCATCGAACAACCAAGACACTTAAAGACTAAAGAGTTAGAAAACTTATTCAGTCCAAAGTTCTTGGAACAAAAGTCTGGATGATACTCTTCCGAGAATCATTCACTCAACGTCCAGCGTTGTTGTCGTTTTGCTGCCCCCGAAGTTTCGATTCCAGGAAACCTCGCGTCTTCACTTGGCCGCTCTCTAAGCTTCAAACTTGTTCGCCGGAAACACGTCGGCTTCACACACGCAGCTGTTGCCACGCGTCTTCGCTCGATAGCGGTAGACACACACTCTTGCCTGTAGCTCGAGTCTTCACCCCTCAGGTGGAAATGCTCTTCTTCTCCTCCTTTGTCACGGAAGACAAAAGCTTCGCCCACAAGGCGGAAAACCCTACGCACTCTGGCGCATACTTTCTTCTTCTCCTGCATGGTCACTACGGACAAAACCTTCACCGAGAGACGCGGCGGAATAACCTATGCACTGCAGCGTTAACTTCCTTCTTCTCTTGTTTGTCACTGAGAACAAAACCTTCGCCGAAACACGGCGGAACACCCTACGCACTCCGGCACGAAATTCCTTCTTCTCCTGATCTCTCCTCTCGGTTGCTCGATTAAATACCTTCCGCGCGAGACTCCAGAAAGTTCTCATGATTTCGTCGGCGCGATACGCAGCGAAGGCTGGGAGAAAGGGCGAGACGATACGGGGGCCGTCCACGACGGATGACGCAACCCGGCATCACCACGCCCCTTTCCATCGAGAAATTTCCAGGGCTTACTCGGCCACCGACGCGAGGAGGTTCGTTGACGAACCTACGCTTCCGAGGGGAGAGGGATGCGTGCCCGGGGAGTCTTTGGATTCTTGTTTTCTTTTTTCATCGTTGACTTCTCGGCGCTTCGTCGCGAGAATTTGGCGGCGCGCCCTTTTTAGAGCGCTCGGTTTGTGACCCTGCCCCCCACTTTAAGAATATTATCTCATAATATTCAAAACCACACAAACGAGCGCCAACAGTCACCACACACTTAAAGACTGTAACATAGTCCGTTGCCCATGACACGTCACATTCACAATAGATCACTCAATACAAATGTACATTTCAATTCAATCTCACAACACATGAAATATAACCACTGTTACATGAGTTCAAAACTCCATCACACATTCCAAACAAAACAATTGTACAAAGTTCTCTCATTACCACAATTCTGCAATACTCTACATCACATCACCGTAACAAACATTTTGACTCGCTCGACATACAGTTGTGACACAGGATAACAAAACACAACACATTGAGGCTCAACACAGACAAACGCATTCCAATTTGACCTCAGCACCTATTCTGAGTACTTCGAGCTGCGCTTGCGCCCTTTTTTGAGGTGCTCGCTCGATCCCTTCTTATTGTTCTTGTTTCTGTTCCGATGAGCCCTTTCCAACGACGGTATCTGAGGCGGCATCTCAGCCATCGTTGTCTCTTTCGACACCGTTAACGGGTCATAACATTCAACCGATCCTGTCACCCGCTTGTTCATGTCACGACATTGGGCCTGGCTGGCCGACTCCGTCACTTTTACACTGTCGGTCGGTTGAGGTCGAGCCGACGTAAGTCCAGCTGCCCAGCACGTAAACTCATTCAATACGATGATGTTCTCAGTCACTGCCTCTTGCGCCCAGGCTTCACCTTGGGCCCGAGTGAAATCCTTCACGCGATTGTTTTCTGCTGTATCTCGCGGTCCCTGTGTCGGCGGGGGCTCCATCTTCGGGTCTTCCCCCAAACATTCTGGATCATTCGGCCCTCGCGCGCCGTCGATGTTTCCAATGACGAGGTCGTACAGGGGGGTCGTCATGCATAAAGCCGTAACCTTCCCGCTGAAGTACGGAATTTCAACCTCAATTTCTGCTTCGGGAAGCATCCGAACCGTACTGTCAATTAGACAAACCGGTTTAGTTTTGCCTGTTAGCTCACTTTCCCGTACCAAATTTCTCCGCACGATAACAGTAGAGCCGCCGGTATCTCTTAGCACCGTAACGTTCTTGCCCGCAACTTTTCTAGGCAGCGTTGGCATTCCCTTCGTAACACTGGTCGGCTGTTTTGTCATTACAGCATCCACAATAAGAAGTTTCTCCCCATTTTTCAACTCTACGAATTTGTCGGTGACGGCATCACTATCGGATTTCGGTGGTGCTAGCACACAGGATACTTGGTGAGTATGACTCACTCCGTTACGACAAGCGTCTGCTTTGTGCCCAGTCTGACCACATTTGAAACATTTTACAACCGTAGGGCTCGTGAAGTTAGTTCGACAGTTGTTAGCGCGGTGGCCCACTCGGTTACACAAAAAACATCGCAGAATGCTCTCCGGTGCACGCTTCTTTTCTTCGGGAGCCGATTTCTTCGAATCTGCAGGACACTCCTTCTTAACCTTGGCCAAATTAGTGCCACCTTGCGCTTCCAACAATTGATCCGCTAATTCAAGCATGTCTTCAAGTGACTTAGCTCTCCTCTCTTTCAAGTACAGCGACAGGCTTGGGTGGCAACTGGTAAAAAATTGTTCTCTAATTAGGAGCTCTCTAAGTTCATCGTACTCCTGCGCTGTCCCTGAAAGTTCAATCCATCTGTCGAAATAATGGCAAAGTCGAGCGGCATACTGCGTAGCCGTCTCACCATCAGCTGGCTTTCCTGTCCGAAATCTGTCCCGGAATCCTTCCACGGTAAATCTTAATCGCTTCAACAAAGCAGCTTTCACCTTTGCATAGTTGGCTGCATCGGTCGGCGTCAGCCTACCGTACGCACTGAGCGCTTCACCACTCAAGCAAGTACTCAAAGCAGTTTCCCATTGATGTTCCAACCTATTCTGGCTCCTTGCTATCGTCTCAAATCTGTGGAGGTACGCGTCAAGGTCGTCCTTCCTTTCATCAAACGCTGCGAGCAGCTTGCTTGAGTTCAAGCGGAAGCCGTGGTCCTCCCGTTCACTGCTTTCAACGCTAGCTTGAACCGGAGTTTCACTTCGCTGTTGCGAACGGAGCCGCTCGAGTTCCATCTCGTGCTGTCGCTGCCGTTCCCTTTCCTGTTTTTCTTCTTTCAACCTCTCGGCTGCCAGTCTTTCTCTCTCCAGCTCCAACTTCAATTGCTGCTCTCTTTCTTCTTTCGCTCTCTCAGCTGCCAACTTCTCTCTCTCCACCTCAGCTGCTTTTTCTTCCTTGGCTCTCTTAGCTGCCAACCTCTCTCTCTCTCTAACTCAGCTGCTTTTTCTTCCTTGGCTCTCTCAGCTGCCACCCTCTCTCTCTCTCCAACTCAGCTTCTTTTTCCGCTTTGGCTCTTTCGACCACCAACCTTTCTTTTTCCAGCTCAGCTGCCTTTTCTTCTTTGGCCCTCTCTTTTTCCTCTTTTTGCTTTTGGGTGACCCACTTCCGTAGTTTGGCGCCAGAAAGACCCATCTTCTCACCAATAGCGACTAACTTTTTGAGATCCATTGTGTCTCGCAAATAAAGTCTTGCCGCGTGCAAAAAATATCTGCCTAAATCAGTCTATCGGAACACTTTCTTGCAC